GGGGCGTGAGGAGCACGCTGGTGGGTGGGGAGGGCGGTGGGGGCAGCGAGTCCACGCTGCTGGGTCGAGTGGATAAGGTCCCCCGAGCACAGGCGCATCCCTCCTCCGTTCACAGCCACCTCCTCCGCGGGAGGGAGACCCATCAGGATTGACCTGCACCCTTCAGAGCGGGGACCTGGGGGCGTCTCTCAAACGCTGGCTGGTCCTGCCATGTCCACGCGGGAGAGCCTTGGAGTGAGTGGATGGGACCGGCCTTGGGGAAGACGCCCAGAGACGCACGCAGCCTCAGACGGCGGTGCTCCCCTCATGGGTCTTCTCGTCCATCAGGTGTGAGTTTTCGTTGAGCAGTGGGCGTGCCACTGTTGGCTCGCTGAACTCGGGTCTTCCTGCTGTGACCCCGACGTGGGCCAGACCCTCCCCGGCTGCACCAGAGCTCGGCTGCGCCGTCCTGCCGTGCACTACCTGGAAGGTTTTCACCCCCAGTTCCCAGCTCCTCCCCCTCCGCGCTTTGCAGCCGCACATTCTATAAGCACAGTTACACCTTCAAGTCATTGATAAAACCCTGGACAGAGTAACCACGGGCGGGGCCGGGAGCAACGTCTGGTGGCCGTCCCGGCAGCCGGGCTCTGCGTCCTCGAGGCCCTGGCGACCCTGCGGGTGCTCGCCAGGTGCAGCCACCAGGAGCGGAGAGCAATGCCACCGGCAGCGTCCCTTCCCCCAACCCTGGGCGGCGTGGAATGTCTCCACATCAGTGCAGGCCGCCCTCCTGACCCCAGAGGATCTGACACCGGGACCCGCGTGGGCCCCTCCCAGAGCCCTTTGCAGAGGAGAAATGCCGCTGGCTTGGCACAGCCCTCACTCTGCCGTGCTGACATTCACACACACTCAGGCTGCGCCACAACCCGCGGTCAGCTGCACACCCGCTACCTGGACTCCACAACGGCTCCTCGATGATGGGCCGTTTTTGCATGGTGTGTGTGGGAGTGTGTGCGTGTGTGGGGGAGTAAGTCTGTGTGTGTGTGTGTGTGTGGGTGGGTGTGTGGGTGTGACAGTGAGTGTGTGTGTGTGTGTGTGTGTATGTGTGTTGGTGTGTCAGTGTGTGTGTGTGGGTGTGTGGGTGTGAGTGTGAGTGTGTGTGTGTGAGAGTGAGTGAGTGTGAGTGTGTGGGTGTGAGTGTGGGTGTGACAGTGAGTGTGTGTGAGTGTGTGGGTGTGAGTGTGAGTGTGTGTGTGTGAGAGTGAGTGAGTGTGAGTGTGTGGGTGTGAGTGTGGGTGTGACAGTGAGTGTGTGTGAGTGTGTGGGTGTGAGTGTGAGTGTGTGTGTGTGAGAGTGAGTGAGTGTGAGTGTGTGGGTGTGAGTGTGGGTGTGAGCGTGTGTGTGTGACAGTGAGTGTGTGTGTGGGTGTGAGTGTGGGTGTGAGTGTGTGGGTGTGAGAGTGAGTGAGTGTGAGTGTGTGGGTGTGAGTGTGGGTGTGACAGTGAGTGTGTGTGTGAGTGTGGGTGTGAGTGTGTGTGTGACAGTGAGTGTGTGTGAGTGTATGGGTGTGAGTGTGTGGGTGTGAGGGTGGGTGTGAGCACGTGTGCGTGACTGAGTGTGTGTGAGTGTGTGGGTGTGAGTGTGGGTGTGAGTGTGTGGGTGTGAGAGTGAGTGAGTGTGAGTGTGTGGGTGTGAGTGTGGGAGTGTGAGCGTGTGTGTGTGACTGAGTGTGTGGGTGTGAGTGTGGGTGTGAGCGGAGTGTGTGCGTGTGTGGGGGAGTAAGTCTGTGTGTGACAGTGTGTGTGTTTGGGTGTGTGTGTCAGTGTGTGTATGTGTGTGTGTGAATGGGTGTTTATGTGAGTGTGTGAGTGTGAGTGTGTTTTTGTGTGTGTGTGAGGGAGTATATGTGTGAGGGAGTGTGTGTGTGTGAGTGTGTGTGAGTGTGTGTGTGTGAGACAATTGAGTATGTATGTGTGAGGGAGTGTGTGCATGTGTGTGTGTGAGAGTGTGTATGTGTGTGTGAGTGTGTGTGGGGGGTGTGACAGAGTGCATGTGTGACAGTGAGTGTGTGTATGAGAGTGTGCATGTGTGTGGGGATGTGTGGGGGTGTAAGTGAGTGTGGGTGACTATGTATGTGAGAGTATGCGTGTGTTTGGGTGAGTGTGTGAGGGAGTGTGTGTATGTGTGAGTGTGTGGGTGTGAGTGTGGGAGTGGGAGTGTGTGTGTGAGACTGAGTGTGTGGGTGTGAGTGTGGGTGTGAGCGTGTGTGTGACAGTGAGTGTGTGAGTGTGTGGGTGTGTGTGTGACAGTGAGTGTGTGTGAGTGTATGGGTGTGAGTGTGGGAGTGGGAGCGTGTGTGTGTGTGACAGTGAGTGTGTGTGAGTGTATGGGTGTGAGTGTGGGAGTGGGAGCGTGTGTGTGTGTGACAGTGAGTGTGTGTGAGTGTATGGGTGTGAGTGTGGGAGTGGGAGCGTGTGTGTGTGTGACAGTGAGTGTGTGTGAGTGTATGGGTGTTGAGAGTGTGTGACTGTGTGAGTGTGTGACTGTGAGTGTGAGAGTGACTGAGAATGAGTAAGTGTGAGAGTGTGTGTGTGTGACTGTGTGTGTGTGTGAGAGTGAGTGAGTGTGAGTGTGTGGGTGTGAGTGTGGGTGTGAGCGTGTGTGTGTGACAGTGAGTGTGTGTGTGGGTGTGAGTGTGGGTGTGAGTGTGTGTGTGTGACAGTGAGTGTGTGAGTGTGTGGGTGTGAGCATGTGTGTGAGAGTGAGTGAATGTGAGTGTGTGGGTGTGAGTGTGTGTGACAGTGAGTGTGTGTGAGTGTGGGTGTGACAGTGAGTGTGTGTGAGTGTGGGTGTGAGCGTGTGTGTGTGAGTGTGTGACAGTGAGTGTGTGTGAGTGTATGGGTGTGAGTGTGGGAGTGGGAGCGTGTGTGTGTGAGTGTGTGTGTGTGAGTGTGGGTATGAGTGTGGGTGTGACAGTGAGTGTGTGTGAGTGTGTGGGTGTGAGTGTGAGTGTGTGTGTGTGAGAGTGAGTGAGTGTGAGTGTGTGGGTGTGAGTGTGGGTGTGACAGTGAGTGTGTGTGTGAGTGTGGGTGTGAGTGTGGGTGTGACAGTGAGTGTGTGTGAGTGTATGGGTGTGAGTGTGGGAGTGGGAGCGTGTGTGTGTGTGACAGTGAGTGTGTGAGTGTGTGCTTTATTTGTTGTTGGAATTGCCTCACAGTGAGTTCCAGGCGTCATGCCATCTCACCACTGCAGCCTGCGTCTCCTAAAAACGAGGACGGTGCCGCACCCTCACAGCCCGGATGTTGGGACTAAGAACATTCGCAATCGTCTCGAACATCCTGTTTCAATCCACCGATGCTCCCAGATTCCAGTGATGTCCTCACCACAACTTCTGGTGTGTGTTTCTTTAACCAGACGCAGGCACATTTGTAGCTGTAGTTTGGATGTTCCACTTTATAATGTACTTGGTTTTACACTCGCCTTTGCTTTCTGAGGTGACCTCCCAGGGGCCATCTCACTGGCCCAGTCCCAGACCTACTACAAGCCATGTTCTAGCCACACCCCTGCCACAGAGGCTCGGCCCTGTCCGCACCTGCCTCGGCCAGCGTGACCAGCGCCTCGTGGCCTCAGGGGGAAGACCGTGGCCGCCGTTCCCACTCACCTGCCCGGTGACCAGAACCTCGACAGCGACTGCTGCCCTCCCGTCTACCAACCCCACCCCCTCTCTTCCTTGGAGGGGGAGGCGTGGAATGCTACCTGTTGGAATGTTCTGTCTGTAGGATGAGAGGTGTGCACCTGCTGAGAGCTTTTGGTTGAAATAGACACAGGACAGATGCTCCTGTGGCCCCGCCGTCTGCACCAGCAGCCTCTCAGAGGCCTTTTCTGGGGGGCGGCCCAGAGGGCAGCACCAGGAAGTCACGGGCTGTCCAGCAGCTGGACACGGGCCTCAGCACCGCAGTGCTTGCTAACCTGGCTGAGGAGGGTGTCA